CCTAGTAAGCGCAAAGGCTCGGTCAGTCTGTGCCGCAAGCATTCCAAAGAGGTAGTCTCACCCGAGAGTATTTTTCGTAGACCTCAAACTTCTTGTCGTAGCCGTTGTCCATCAAGTCTTTGTACTTCTTCAGGGCGCCTTCATAGTTGGAGATCTCTACATCGAGCATGTACTGCTCAACACAGTGGGCGGGTAAGTCGTTCTTAGCGTCTTCGAGCTGCTCCAAGGTAGTGTACTTGCCCGTGCATTCGGACCAGTAATCCAGGTCGGTGTAACCCTCGTCGTCGTCGCCGCCACCGCTTCCACTGTGTAATGTTAGCCTGAAGTGGCTCACTTAGCTTGAGCATCGAATGACATACTCAGTGAATGCCTGCAGGTCCACAGCCCAATCAGTCGTGCCAGCAAAATTGTAGGAGTCGTAAAACTGTGCACGATACTCTTTCATAGCATCGTCCATCCACGCCACCCACTCAGTGTCGTTGTAGACCATGATGTTCGACCCTTCACTCGTCCACTTCTTCTTGACGTTGCCAGACTCGATAATCTCGTCAATCTCTGCGTTGGAGATGTAGCCTGCGGTTTCCGTGCAGCGTCCTTTGGCAGCATTCGATAGTCGAGGCGATCCAGTAAATCTGCACTCTTCAGAGTTGCACCCAGACTGAGCCATCTTGAACGATCGACCATAGCTGGCAACGCCGACCACAATCTTGTTCGAAGCTGCGCCTGCCTTGGTGACCATCGAGAGGGCATCCTTGGTTTCGGTCTCGTTCACGTGAGACCTCAAACAGTTTCCTGTGTCGCAGCCAGGTGACGTCCACTTGTTACCGTAGTCCCATTGGCCATGAAGATCGTAGGTCATGTAGACGATGTAGTCCAGGTCCTTGGCCATGTTCTTGATGGGAAATGACTTCAGATACCAGTACGATGCCGGTGCTGCGAAAGAAACCGACTTAGAAGAGCCAACGGAAGACTTCAGGCTAGAGAGAAGCCTGTAGTAGTTCAGGCCGTTCACGGGATCGTCGGAGGGAATTTCTGGGATGTCGGGAGCCTAAACATCATATGTAAGCCCCACCAACCAACCAGTTCTTGAGTGCAGGTAATACTGACGCCTGGATATTCCCAATCGAGGTCAATGCCATCAAGATTATGTTCGTTCATGAATGAAATAAGGTTGTTCTTGAACTTTTCGCGGTTGGCCTGGAAGTCGAGATACAACGTCAGTGTGTGCTTCAAAAGCATTTCGCGCATGGTGTTCGCTTACAGGCTGTGCGGCTTCGCGGAGAATCTGGAAGGTTCCCGGCTCAGTGCTGAAGGCCCAACCACCGAGTGAGACAATCTTCTTCACGTCTGTCATTCCCTTGAAGATTTCGAATTGTTCCAGAACCTTGGGATCGGTGATCTCAACCCGGTAGTCGCCTCGGGTGACATTCGCAAACGCGAAATGTATATGGGTATAGATGGACGTATCTATTTCGTCGACGTTCATCGTCAAGCAAGCTGGGGAATCACTCCAGTCAGTGTGTGCTGGATATGATGTTCATATAGGAAGGCTCACGGCGGTTGAAATTCCAGCTCTCATAATATGCCAGCTTTATCTTGCTTGCTGGAGCTGAACCCTTGATAATGTCTCTGCCGCAGTTGCTGATGCCTATGTCCCAATTAGTCATCGACATGTGATACAACGACGAGTAGAAGAATCTCCGCCGAGGATATCCACGCAACGATATCGCGAACGTTGGAGGTATAGGTGCTCTGCCATAGATGGGGGCACTTACAGCCGTTCTTGCCAGGAGCAGAAGTTCCGGGAGCACCCGTCTCGGACTTGGAGATAACGCAAAAGTCGTCGGTCATGCCACACTGGCCCCAAATGTTACAGCAAACGTTCAGTGGGCAGGGGTTGAGGGTAGCCAGGTCTGTTCCAGCGGACGGTTGGGTTGTGCCATTCATCTTGTCTCGTTAGTCTTTGTGCTCTGACGTCAGCAATTGGGAATGAGTTCTTACCGTTGGTCCACACACAGCGTTCTAGAAAAGCGAGGTTGTCAGTTATGGTGGTCCCATCTCGATGTGATAGTGGAATGGGGATGGATACACACCGGTACATTGGCAGGCATGGGAGGGCTGCCCTCACTGACACACATTTTGAAGTCTGGGAAGAGACGGTCGCACCCGTTCCAACCCCATGTCTTCTTGTTGAAACTCTCGAGCTCCGTCACCGTGATGTCGCGGGAGACGGCGATCTTGGAGCAATAGTCGTCCTTCTTCGTCGTGTATACGGCGCAATTGCCGTTGGCATCCTTCTTCGGCTTCAGGTCCGGGTATTTGCCATTCGAGCAGCAGACCTTTTGACCTTCACCTAATTTCGAGCAGAGATCAGTCTTGGTGTTCGCCTTCATAAAGTCTGCTGCGCTGATGCCGCACTTTGAAGCAAGGGAGCCGCAGCTATCGCCGCTTGCCACTTCTATCGTTTTGCAGGTGCCATCCGAATTGCCGGCAGGCAAAGTGCTTGGCAGAGTTCCCGTGCTGCAGCAGACCTTCTCATCTTTTACAAGTGTCTTGCAGATATTGAGGCGGTTGAGCTTTTGGAGATCGACCTGGCTTATTCCGCACCGACTTGCGACTGCGGCACAGCCATCGCCGGACTGGACTGTGGTTGTCCTGCAATCAGCCCTGATACTAAGACGTGATCTAGATTCCATGCGAGCAGGTGTGGTATTGTTCGCTGCAGTTGTGGTATTAGTACTGTTCGAGGCGCCAGCGACAGGGCCGGGGACTCGGAGGTCGACATTCATCCACTCCTCGCCCGCGGTGGCTGGTACGCAAGCTCCGCTAGCCCAGGTCCTAACAGCTTCCTGAACAAAGGCGAGATTCTTTGCACTCGTGGCAACGATTCCGAAACTATAATCTGCGCCACGGCCATCGGATCCACATAGCTGATGAGCCCATGTCAGTAACAGTATCGCGGCGACACAATACATCAGTGCTTACCTGTACTACGGTGGTCTTCGAGACGGCTTTGTCTTGTGCGTATTGAAGAAGTTTCTCGAGAACGACCTTAGTGATCCCGTGCTGATGGACTTCAGCTCCAGCAAAGAGACCAATGCTTGACGACTGAGAGTAGGCAAACTCCATTGCATTGTTCGTGCAGGAAGGCTCCTGTAACCCGAGGTGATTGGCGATCTGGCGGCCAGCTGAAAGGAGATGGTTCACGGAGAACTCGTTGTCGGCTCCTACTTGCGGTTGGTGCAGGTAAATGGAGTTCTGTTCCAAAACCCGGTTGGCAGTCGTGCAAAGAGATGCCTTCCCCTCTTCGGCTACAAATGCAACCTTGACGCCGGAATCGTAGTCGGCTGAGCAAGCCCTAACAACTGTTCGTGCGGCATCGTCATTGATGGCTGATTTGACAACCATATCGAGTAGCATGGTCTCGTTGCACAGTGCTAGCTTCGTGGCATCGGGAAACAAGAACCATTCAGCTCTCGAGGTCACTGTATGAAGTGAGCAAGATGTCACCGAAGTTTCGAACTGAACCTACAGTTTTTGTTGCTCGCCGTGCTACAGGATGAAGGGCAAGCCTTGAGAGCCTCTGCTGATACTCGTTGTGCTGCTGCCAGCCATTCATCGAGGTCGTCACCAGCATCTTCGGCTCGAATGGCGATGTGATCATCAGATGGGATGGCCAACACGCCTACACCCAGCCGGGCGATCAGAACGAAAGATGGGAAGAAAGCCCTCATGGTAGCAAAGAAAAGCAAAAGGAGTGTTCAGAACGAGTGTAAGCTGCCCCTGCACTGAAGAGAGCAAATGCAAGAAATGCAGAAGAGCGTGGATTTTGAGTATAGATGAGTTTCTCTGGACCTCGATGCTCACGTGCGTCGTACACTGAAGAGCTCGACACGATGCATACTACCCATGTAGATTTGCCTCTCCAGGGACAATAGTTGCGCACGGAAAAACTCCTTTTGGGGCCTAGAGCTATGCATCTGATTTGAGCCGCGAGATCCTTTGAACGGCCAGGCACGGGATGCACACCGCGGTCTGCCTCGGAACCCATACCCTGGGATGTTACCATGTGCGGTTGCGATTGATTGTGCGTAGGGTATAGGAGCCTCAGACCGTTTCGGGCAGGGGCGCCGGCGATAGCTGCCAAGACACGCTACCGTAGCCGTAGATGCAGGGGCAGTTGGACCCTGCGGCATCGCCCCCGGGCCCCATGCCCAGCTAGTGTGCGGCACAGTCCTGGAAGATTGGCCAAGACGGGACGGACGACCAAGCACGAATATATCAAATTTGTGCAAGATACCCCGGCATTATATCGGCTCTTCACCAGGAATCCTACTGCGGCACTGATCCACTCCAGTAGAGGGATATGTCGCCTGTAGTCTCGACTGTTGCCTGACTGGTTTTCGCGATGTTCACTGGTGGTTTGCACTGGTGTACGGTATGATTGTAATAGCAATCGTGTATTTCGCTGGAGGTCTGTTAGGTCACTGTTGTCCCATGCACTGATCCACCCCGTACATACGGTAGCTACAGGGTGTGTGGGCAGTGGCGTGCATCCTAGTTGGAGATCCAGCTAATCACGCAGCCCGGATATAACCTCAATATAGGGCTTTAATCTGCCTGCTTACGGTCAAGCATGCTCGCCACTTTTAACACATCCCGTACGCCTCAGGGGTCTGATGGTTGGGTCTAGATCCGGTCAACGCTTCGGCGGACATGGTGGATGGTGGTTAGGATGAGCAAATCTTCGGGCTATCCACATTGGGCTTGTTCAGGGCTTTCGATTAGCAGGACTCGGACAAGGATGCATGCCACTGTTGGAAACTCTGTAAACTTCATGTATGTAGATTCTAGACAAGCGAGGCTGTCCACCTGCGTGTATACTACCTAAGTGTCCTCCTCTGTCTCGAACTTCGAGCAGTCTTGTCACCGGGACGTCCATCTTCTGTCATTCACTCAGTACTGTCTTTACTCCGGTTGCTGCTCTACAGTACCACACAATGAGGGGCTCTCTTCTTTTCACTCTTTTCTACCTCTTCGTGGCCGCATGGGCTGGCGGATATCAAGGCTGCCTCGAACGCGTGTGGTTGTACCAAGCCTATTTGATCGACAGTCTCAACGACTACGATGATCAAACAATCGGTTGGCAGTGCAAAGGCAAGAACTACAATTTCAAAACAAAGACGTGTATCAAATGGAATAGGATGGTACGCCGCATCTGCATGCATATACTACCTGATCAGACTGACTCATTCGGTACACCAAAAATTAGCCAGGAAGCAAGAAAGGTTCGACGTTGTCCTACGACCAGTTCTTACACGCTCTGGGTGGTGCGAAAGACCGTACGGGATGGGCCGTAATGTCAGGGGGCGAGCTTGATGTAAAAGCGACAGCTTTGAACACATACAACAAATACCTCACGCCACAGCCTGGTCAAGCCGCGGGTAAGGCCAAGGTCAATAATTTTGGTGCGCAATTAGCCGTAAAGGACACTTTCGAATGGAACCAGTGCATCATCAAAGCTGGTGATGTGTAAGTAAAATCCCTTTCAAATGGGGTGCAAGGCAATCACTAACTTTATACGTCGATCTTTAGCGTAGACCAGACGTACAGGGCTAAATCGTCTGGCATGGATGATGCTACGAAGAAGTTGTTCGAGAACTTTGGTGCGTCGCATCTGCATCATTCCGCGCCAACACTACATACTGATATGCCATGAACGCCTAGATGCCACAAGAGACCTAGTCATAAATGCGCGTACAGGTGACCATGGTCCTTTCCTCATCGATGAAGCACGGAAGAAGCTGTCAGGGATGGACATCAACATCGAGGTCATGGGTGCGTAGGATACCAACGTCTATGAGAGACAACAGCTAATAACCCATGCTAATCTCTAGGCAAAAATCCGGTACGTGGATGCAAACTGTATTCCTGGATGGACTCAGAGTGCTTTGGCGCGGCGATATCTCGGTTCTTCTTGCTTACTAGATTGCATTTAGGTTGACAGTAACAACAACTGGGAAACAGTTGATTGGGCGGAGACCGAACGAGCAGCTCGCGAGGCAGGTGACAAGGATGCGGGCACTAAGATCACAAACTTTTTGAAAGGGTGGTATGGCAACACCGACGACGGTGATAGTAACGCTAGAGATCACAGGCAGGTGATCAACTCTTTCAAGCGGGTCCGAGATCAACAGATTGCCTGCGGTCGATAATTGGAGGAGAGAGCCATCGTCAGAGTTCAGCGAAGATCTTCAGGACTCAGTTTTGGGTCACAGTATTGTCAGATAGTTTTGGAGTAATCAACAGTATTTCATTGGTAGAATTATGAATCTCCATGTTTTCCACTCCCAACAAAATCATGTCTCTAGCGACAGCCTGAAAGAAAGATAAGACGATTGATTCAGCTTCAAGACTCGTCGTCACTGGAATATGCTTCGCCAGTAGCTTCTAGCCGAGCGTCCTTCAGCATCTGTCTACATACGGTTTCGAAGTCAATGCCACGCGCAACTCGACCATCCAATGCGTCAATGAACACCAGCTTTTCTTCGGCGCAGGGCCAGCCATGATCATATATAGCCCCAGCCCACATCCAGAAACCATCTGCGCAGACTATGTGAATCTCTTCCACACTAACAAACTTCATGAGTTCATTTGATTCAGTATGGTAGAAGTATTCATCCCCGTTCTCTCGCTCAAACTTGAGACGCTTGACTGCTGATGCGATCGATTTGTAATTGCAGAACTTAGAAGCCCCGATGTCCACCATATCAATGTCGAGATCCAACCAGACATAGCGCTGCTCGGTGTCGGGGGAGCCTACTTTATTGGGCCCTTCTTCTTCCTGCTCATCGGGCGTGAAGAATCTTTCGACGGCGATCTCGGGCGCGTTGTTGCCTTTGAATTTCTTTACTGCAGCAACCTCAAAGAAGACTCGCTCGTAAAGTCCAAGGTTTCGGGCTTCCCGGCAGGACTGTAGTATGGCTGGTATCGGCGTAGACGAGACCAGCTGGCCATAGCGTTGAGGCCACTCTCGAACACGCCGGACGTCGACAGTGCGCGGTTCGACGGTGTCCTTCCAGATTTGCTCTCGGAGCTCCAGAGGAAGCCGCGGAAATGGATGAAAAGTGGTCATGGTGTAGGATGGCGACCGAGTAGTCGGAGGAGTGGGCAGCAAAGGGGCTGATGTGCTGTAAGAAGCAGGTGAAGAAGGCTGTCACACTGAGGGATGTGTTTAATGCTAAGCGCTCCGCAGTCAGCCTTACACCATGGAAAAATTCAGATCAAATACGGTGTGGCGAAAGTTCGGTTGACAGAATTTTCGAAGGATCGGGCTCAATTTTGGGTGACCTGTCTTCCGCGCCAAGGCTGATGCAGGTACCAAGTGCGGGTGTGCACCGCGCACCGCAACTCGCGATCTCTCCACCATGACTCGCCCTCCGCTGCCACCTTACGACAGTGACCCTGTAACTATGAGGATCGGATGTCAAATTACGCCGAAGTCACAATGTGGATCTTGCACCATTGAAATCCACTGACGAATTCATGCACAAACCAACTTCAACCGAGGTTTCGTGGTCTTGGCACCTTCCCGAACTAGACTTCCTCCGCCACACCCTGTGACCCACACTTCTAGCGTGAACGCAAACGGGCCGGGGCCGGGACGGCTACAACATGGGGCGACGTTTGCACGTGCACAAGGCGTCTCCACAGTGGCGCGCGCATTTTTCTACCGAGATGAGCAAAGCAGAAAAGCCACCTCGAGACAGCGACGCCTTCCAAATTGGTCGACAAATCCGAACGAAGAACGTGCGTCTGTGAAGAATCCCTGTAGCTATGAACCTTACTGTACATAGGTAGATGGCCTAGCCGAAGGATGCTTGATGTCACCTTCCAAGGCTTGGCTGTCCTGCGTTCTAGAACTCAGCATTAGTAGCCCAAGGGAGTCGGGACGAGTAAACAGATTGTTTTATGGGCGAGAGTTAGGGTTTCTCCATTCTTTCTGACTTTACAAAGGGTGGCGTACACTTCCCTCTAATATCTTTCTCACCCTCAAAGACATCTTCCTCGAACTTTATCTGTCAGCAAGCTTGCATTATGAGGACTTCTTTGGCATTAGTCTTTGCGGCGCTTGCTCAGCGAGCCGTCTCCACACGCAGTCCGCTCCTCCAATGGGACCCCGATACGGTCAAGGACTGTATCGATTGGTACAACAACGGCGAAGGCGAAACTTGCGAATACGTGCGCGAGCTCTACGGCAGTAAGCTCCCTTTGCACAGCTAATAAATTACCCATACTGATCTTGTACCTTACTCCTCAGTCACTCCAGCAGAGTTTAACGAATGGAACCCTTCAGTCGGCCTTGATTGCAAGGGCTGGTATTGGCAATCCTACTGCGTCATCACGCAAAGAAAATTGGACAGCATCAAACCAACGACAACTTCCTCCAAGGTGACCACCACCAGCACGAGCAAAGCTCCCTCTCTAGCGCCTTCCCCTACCGCCTGGAACGCCTTGGGATGCTACGCTCAGAATCCGACCCGCCCGATCCTCGAGCAGAACATGAATGCAAACGGAGACGCATCCCTGACTGTTCCCAAGTGCAAGAACAGCTGCTACCGCCGCGCCTTCAACTTCGCAGGTGTACAGGAAGGCAATCAGTGTTGGTGCGGCAGCTACGTAGGCGGCGAGTGGACAAAGAATCAGACCGACTGCCACGCTCCTTGTACTGGCAACAAGGCGGAGATGTGTGGAGGCAAGGGCGTTGTCAACGTTTTCGAGGCATTGCAGAACGCTGCGCCAGCCGCCACTACCACTAAGAGCGCGAGTGTCAAGGCCGCTGCCGCGAGCAATGGCGCCATCAAGAACAGGGCTCTCTTTGGGATGGGCTTTTAGGCTCACGCTGTGTCGACAGCTGTTCTCGGTTGATGTAGATATACTTCTAATATGATGTTCGGTAATTGCTTCTATGGAATTGGAATAACTACTTGCTTATCTCCTCGCTGTCATATGTGCCGAAGAGGATGCGTTAGTCCCGCGAGAAATCAGACTCCGCCTCCCTACAGATATTTTCCACTGCCTTCTTAGCAAAAGCGTAAACCGCAGTTAAGACCTCTCTCATTTGATTATGCATAGAGCCAGTCTAGAGCAAGATTATTACCGGTATGCCAGGGGGTTGGGAAATAGACTCACACGTGCGACACGATGTTACCATGATGCGAACAGACCATTCCCGATGGAGTCGCAACGCCGCCGCCGGTAGCAACCGCAAAGGGTCCCTGCCCGAATATCTTAACGGCACGGGAGCCCTGGACTAGCGTGCATAATCACTCCACGGAGTGAATTAATTTCTTGCCCTACGCAGTATAGGGATCGTTCGACCGGGTCCGGATCTGTCTGTCAGTGGGGCCACGGAGCACCCATGCGGGTACTATTCTCAGGCCATTACCCTCTGCAGCTCGCTTGAGCTCTCGCTAACTCAGAAACTATTGCTTGTGATAGAAGCGTTATAGCACATCTCGAGTCAGCGTCGTACATGCGAGTTTAATTGTGTCAGACTTGGACTCAATCTCGGTGGCGCGAATTCATCCAGCTTATGCCTTTAGCAGGACATGCTTCGGATGCATATAAGAAGATGAGTGTATGCCGAAGACCAACCTCCAGGCATTCATTCATCTTCCTCTGCCCACTCCTGCATTCGCAGCCATGTTGTCTTCAACTGGCAGTCTTCTCTTGATCGGCGGCTTTTTCCAGGGAGCCGTGTCAGCAGCCCGCATCTTGCCTCGCGATGGAGCGTCTCCAGCGTTGCCTTATGCGGACGACACTACCAAGTACTGCAGTTGGTGGCTCGACTACGAGTCTGTTGGGTCCTGTGCGGATATGCTTGAGGCCAACTACATCAACCTCGAGGAGTTTCGTCGATGGGTAAGGACTCCATAGCCTCTCTGTACTTGCGACCGCGCTGACAAGACATATAGAACCCTTCTGTAAACGCGGCCTGTGGCAACCTCGTTGTCGGAAAGTCGTACTGCGTTGAGACCACCGATGAGCCGGCAGCCCCCGCTCCGGCTCCGGCTTCGAGCTCTGCTTCATCTGTACGATCGTCAGCTGTGCCCACGCCCTCGACATTCACGACCTCGCCAGAGCCTGTGGTCACAAGCTCTGCAAGCAAGTCAACGCCACCATCAACGACCACACCTACGCCTACGCCCACCGTCACTAAGGGTAACAACGGCGTAGAGACCCCTCTGCCAACCCAGCCAGGCATGGTTTCCAATTGTGCCGCCTTCCATTACATCGGCCCGAACACTGTCTGTAGCCAGGTCCTCAGCTACCAGAAGATCTCAATTGAGGATCTTTACCGATGGAATCCCTCGGTCAACGCCGATTGCACGGGCCTGCAGAAACTGGTGAACGTATGCGTCCGCGTCATTGGCGCCACAACGACTACACCCAAGCCCAGCACCACCACCACCACCCCAGGAAACGGAATCGAAACGCCTCAGCCAACGCAGCCAGGCATGGTGAGAGTTCCATGTACGAACTGTATGCGAGATATACACTGACTTCGTCAATAGGTCGCAAACTGCAACAAGTTCCACTTCATCAACCAGGGTGTAGTGTGCAGCCAGGTGATCAGCTATCAGAAGATCACTCGCGAAGATTTCGTTAAATGGAACCCCACCGTGAAGGACGATTGCTCCGGCATGTGGGCCAATGTCAATGTTTGCGTTGGCGTGATCGGAGGAGGATCGTCGCCGACACCTACCACGAGCGCGGGCAACGGCATTCAGACGCCGCAGCCCACGCAACCTGGCATGATTTCGAGTTGCAAGAAGTTTCATTATGCGGCGGAGGGCGTTGTTTGCACCCAGCTTACTAGCTACAACAAGATCAGTCTGGCTGACTTTGTGAAGTGGAACCCAGGAGTTGGAAGCGACTGCAGGACGATGTGGGCGAACACATATTTCTGTGTAGGTGTTTAAGAGATCCGTGGTGCGCGGAAGAGAATATATAATAGATAAAGTTTATGTTAATAATTTACTAAGAAAGTTTGTTATTGTCAGATAGCATGTGTTGCTGTCAGATGGAAGGCCATCCAGCAGGCAATTTAGCATCGGTGTCGATTGCAGCTATGTTGGCCAACCCGCCTCGATCCTACTTCGGCCTTATCTGTACGAGAGCATATACATCGTGATAGCACCACCTTCCAGGGAAGGGACACGAAATAATCAACATCTATTAATTCTATGCATTATCTCATCTAATCTGACACATCCTAAGGTCCGTGTTTTTAGACTCGCTATTCCTACCTCCAATTTCACGATCAGACAAACTACTGATGTACTACTAACCTTATATAGTCAGACAAGTATGCACCTAGGCGACCTCTATCTGCCTATGTAATTTTCCCCAACCGTTAGTGGCTTTTCCTCCCTATACACGTTGTGGGACTAACAAAGGTTAGATGTAAGGGAGTCTCTGAAGAGCCAAGTATTATCTTTCACAGAGATTGCGAAAGTCGTTGGTGAACGGTGGCGAGTTTTACCAGCGGAAGCTCGAGAGGCCTATCAATGTCAGGCCAAGGCCGGAAAAGAGAAATACCACGCGAAATTAGTAGAGTATAAGGGATCTCCCAAGTACGATGCTTATCAAAAGTACCTGAAGGAGTTCAAGGCGAAACACGCAGCACCATATAATGGTTTGTTGCGTTGACTTCTTGTTGTTGGTGTTTTACTAACATTGGGTAGCAGGTACGGAAAGGATATATGCTAGGTTGGAAACCCACACAAGGACTATGTCGCCAAGCAGTACCCACGAATACGGCGATCGACGGGCAAAGAAAGAGGCCACCTTAGCGGAACCGAATTCTTTCATGGCGGAGCACGATCAGGAGAGACTAAGTCCAACCATGAGTCTTCTACGGCTTTCTGGATATTCCTCCTCGTCAGGATCAACATCTCCAACAACTCATTCTCGTAACGAATCGAACTCGGCTTGCCCAGAGGATTATGGCTCACTTGTGTCAACGTCGTTGGGGTCTGCAGCTCTCCATCAAGAGGGACTATATGATCTCCGCCCTACTGCTACGGCGCATGGCTCTTGGGAGCGGAGTTCGGACTCGAATATCCCGGTCCGCTCTTCATCCTTCATATATCAACCTGGGAACATATCAACTACACTTCCTCCACTGTCCCACATTTTGGAACACGACGATACTATCGATTCATCACTAAATCGACCGTTTCAGGAGTCTACATGGCTTTCATCCATTAATCGCCTGAGGCAGGATTCTCTCACTTGGAGGAGGCTGCGTATATGACCTCGCGGATGATGTAGGATCTTCAGCCCTGCTGGTAAAACACTCATAGTCATCCCAGGCTTCACTGCAACTAGTGCAAAGCCTCGAGCCAACTCGTCCCCGCTCGATCGACCTTCCAGGCTTCTCCCCAAGACATCCGGCTCAAAAACCCCTGACTTCTCCTCATTCGAAGCACTAGTAAGAGCCAGTGAATAGGCTTGATTCACTACGCCGAAGTTGTGAACAAGAACAACTCTATTTCAGCTTTGTCGGCTCAAGATCCGTTCGCATAGGATGTTTGGCGGTGGATGGAGAATCCTTTCAGATAATATCCAGGCCTGAGATCAAGCTAATGTTGATTTACGGGGTCCAGAGATGGCCTTGGAGGAAATGATAGTTGTAAGTGAAATGTTGAAAAAGCCTGGGTGACTTCGCCGTCGCGATTCCGCTCTCTCTCTGAAGACAACACTGTTCCTGGATCGCCGACTAGGCTTGACAGCGTGTTGTGTATGACGCGTAGATGAAATTCAGTCGCCTCATATCCCACAGACAAGCCTTGTGATACGGCAAGGCAATGCCCATATCAAACAGGTATGCGTCGATGCTGCCAGGATCCCGCTACGTGCATGCGTACCTAGGTATTATCCCTAACATCCCTTACGAGCGAAAGATCCCGGGACACCACTGAACATAGGCCTGTGAAACGCCCTTCGATGTGGATAATGAATCGCTCGAATGCAGACCACGAGGATAAAGTGAAGAGAGCGCCCCGGCAAGCAGTCCTTGCAGTAAAGCATGATAGAAGATGCCCAATAGCTTCAGATAGGAGTGCCCAGTCGAAGACAACTCAATAACACCTCGACTAAAAGATTCCGGTCCACTGGTTTCGAGACGTAAGCAGACACCCCTTTTGCGATATACGTCTCAACCTGGCCCTTCAGTGCATTCGCCGTCATCGCAACAATTGGAGTAGAGATACCAGCATCGCGGATTTCCTGGGTGGCTCCAATGCCATCGAGTGTGGGCATGTTGATATCCATGAGGATTACATGGTATGCGAACGGATCCTTGGTCAACATCGTGACGGCTTTCCTTCCGTTAGCTGCTAGATCCACGTTCTCAAAACCAAGTCCCTTGAGCATCTTCACCATAACTCTTTGATTGATGGGGTTGTCCTCTGTCAACAAGACCCTCTTATTGGCGGCTGCTAATTTGATGTCCTCTAATGGCAAGACCGGTGTTGGGGCGGCTACTGCTTTCATCGTCTCCTGGAAAGCATGGATGCGATCCAATTGCTTCACCTTCTTCAGCTTAGCGGTAAACCTAAAAATACTTCCGCGGCCCTCTGGATTGGGTTGGAAGCCAATACTCCTACCCATTAGCTCTGCCAAGCTCTTACAGATGGATAAGCCTAAGCCGGTGCCTTTATATCGCTTGGTAGTGTAGTTGTCAAGCTGTGTGAACGGAGTGAAGAGGGCGCTGGAATTGGCAGAGGGGACTCCGACGCCCGTGTCGAAAACCTCAGTCAATATGATGTATGATTTGTCGTCCTCCTTCTGGAGAGTTGCATTAACACGTACGTATCCCTGTTCGGTGAATTTTATCGCGTTTGACATTAGGTTCTGCACGACTTGACGGTACCGGAAACTGTCACCCTCGGCGGCTTTGGGAAGCCTGGGATCAAGATAGTTTTCCATGGTTACCCCCGGCTTACAGCCTTTTTGGTATGCTCTTAACACAGATTGGACGAGATCCGTAACGTTGATGATATCGTGGCTAACAGAGAAGCACCCAGATTCAAGCTTAGAGTAGTCTAAGATGTCATTGATAACTTGAAGCAAGACCTTGCCGGATTCCTCGGCTATCTGTACTAGTTCAAGCTGCTCAGAATCCAGGCGCGTGTCCAAGAGCAAAGTCAAGGCCGATAGCATACCTGAGGAGGTATCAGTGGTTCTTCTTCTCTGTGTGGGAATTCCCTAACCTACCATGCATCGGTGTTCGAATCTCATGACTCATGTTGGCGAGGAACTCGGATTTTAGTTTGGAGGACTCGTCGTAGGCAGCAATCAACTTTTCCTCAGCCTCACGTCTCTCGCTCAGATCTCGAGTGACTTTCGCAAATCCTATGAGGTTATCACCCCGATAAATCGGAGTAATGACAACGTTGGCCCAGAATCGTGTGCCGTCTTTGCGATAGCGCCACCCCTCGTCTTCGCATCGACCGTCTCGCAGAGCCTCGACAAGCATTCGATCTGGCTTGCCATCGTCGCGATCTTCCTGGCTGTAGAAGTTCGAAAAGTGCTTTCCGGCGATTTCTTCTCTTGTGTATCCCTTGAAGGATTGGGCACCAGCATTCCAGGTCGCCACATTGCCTTGAGGATCCAGCATAAAGATGGCATAGTCCTTCACCGTTTCGACCAAGATGCGGAAGGTTTCGTTCGTGTATAGTCGTTCCTCGAGCTCTAGTTGCTTTCGACGCTCCTTAGTCGCATCTTGGAGTTCCATTTGAACGTACAGCAGGTTACCATCGTCGTAGACGGGGATGGTTCGAATGTTCCAAATGGTCCCATCAGGCTGCACATCGTCTAACTGATATGGCAGTCTGCTTTCCTTCGCAGCCCGAATGGCTTTATCGGCCAAATCGCAGGAGGGAATAGTCACGATTTGACCAAAGCATTCATCAGGGCGTAATCCGAGCACCTGGTCTGCTCTACAACCGCCTGAAACCTCGAGATAGCTGTCTGACACCTGATGTATAACAAGCGAGGAGTCCAACAGGATCGTTGGAATGGGAGTACAACGGAAGAAGTGAAGGGCAAGTCCATCGTCGCTCGATCGTGCCCACGACCGGTCGTGGCCCACATAGGACGCTGGAGGATTAGGAAAGGCCGGAGGCGTGGGCAGAGGGTGGATGCCCGGAGGAACGATCATCGCGCTGAAACAGTACCGTGTTTCGCGGATCAAGCTTATTTTCGTATACAGTAGGAAGAAGGACCTGGACGGGATGAAGGAAATATGGTACGACTGTTGTAGCGGCAGTGAGCAACGCTAACATCTATGTGGCCTGAAGCCTAATAGGGCCATCTGCGATCCCATGACGGCTGGCACTCGTGTGTCACTGCCGCGGAGCTAGGAACCAGAAGCACAACGAAAACTACTCGCCGAACCAGATGGCAAGAATAGCCGGGTACGAAGGGCGTAACCATCGAAATCGGCGATTGCCTCCTCCCCTGTCGCCAACTCAAGTCCTGAAGATTCACGCTTTCTACTCTCATCTCCACTGTTCGACATTTTCGACACGCCACAGCGAACACGCATAGGGTACCAGGGGATACAGGGTATCAGAGGATGCAGCGCACCATAGAGCGCGGTCACCTACGGCAGCCGGTTGCATCGCCGAGAAGACACATAGTAGTCGATGGTCTTATCCTCAAGGTGCTGTTGCAGGCGCACCAGCTATTCAGTCACGACGCGGCCGAGCAATCAACATTCCAAAGCGATATCTATAGCACAATATATTATTTAAGTTTCATATATCTCTCTAATAGAAAACAATGCGACAATAACTATTGCGTGAGGCTCTACAGCCTCGAGTTGTGGGGCTGTTTTGGTGTTGGGGTGGCTCATTCCGCCGTCAAGCTCGTACCATGTCGCTTGGGCAGGACACCAAATCGGCGATGGTGTATTAGACCCGTTTGGGCCAATATCCGCTAAACTTTAGTGAGTACCAGATGCACGCACAAGACGAAAAGGGTGTACTCGAAACGAGATCGCGATCGCTCTAGGCGAGGGTATGTAACTGAAGATCTCGACTCAGTCCAAGATGATATTGCATTTTCTGCCTTTGTCCCAAGTTTGATTCGTTGTCCAGTGTCGACTATGCGGAGCACAAACGAAGGCTCGATAGCGCTGATCTTTGCGCCTCGAGGATTCAGTCTTGGCTGCTTTTGAGGACCGCGCGGTTTGATCAGGCAAGCGTTGCAAGAGCTGCCATCGTGGTAGCAAATCCTTGCTTGCCTTTTGAGTTCACGCTTTAGAAGTCCGCTAGAGCCCTCGTCACGCACATCCTTGCTGGGGCAAACAGGCGTGCCGTATCTAGTTTATCCTTGTTTGCTCACTGCGGATTTTCGTCACCTTGAGCGACTCCTCACTGCCAGGGCGGTTCATCTCCGATCGCGTCTGCTTTAACCCGCTGCGGTTATCTTGGCACTCCTGTCCTCACACCATGCCTGCAAGCATAGAGGAGGCGCTGAATTCCACGTAACTCGCAGTAAGATCACGGGTTTGGCTTGTTCGCCGCTCTTCCGCCCATTTCACACATGCCGAGCTCTTTCACACATCATCTAATACCAGCGCCGCCTTCGCGTACCAAGAGCGACACATAGCAAAAGAAGGACGCATAGTGTAGTCACAGAGTGTGCTTCAACTCAAGCGATCCCTCCACGGCCGTCGTGCCTGCGCCACTACGTCAGCCATAACATCGAGAACGGAAAGAGCAGCAGCAACAGCAATAACGACAACGCAACTAAGGAGCCACCGCGGCCTGCGTAAATACTCACCCGTACCCTCGTCCGAAGAGATTCCCGGAGGACCTGGACGCAGCGATTATTTTGAATGAAGTGGGTGGTCAATAGGAATGTGGCAATTGCGACATTATTGTGGGTAGTTAAGAGGTTCTCATCGAATTGCTTGGCTACGCTTGTGGAGGAAGGAACAGCTCCAGACTCTCGCGCTGGTTGACGTTGTGCGGGAAGGCACATAAACGTCGCGGGACCCACGATTCCCCGCCTTCGTGTTGCTGCAGCAGTTCGCTATCGCATCTCAGAGCGTAGCATCAACACCTGCCCCGTAGACGACCCACCATGGAAACTCTGGATGCTGATAGTAGGGAAAGGTATGTTGTTTGATTCATTGGCGACCCGTTGTCACTTCCATACCAATCTGTTCGTGCTAATTGTTCGCCATAGCATCGATTTACCCTCGATCAACCACATGGATGCCGGCAGAGTCAAGCGCAAAGAGGTGGAGTATCAGAGAAAACACTCCGCTGCCATGCCCAACCCGTTGCACCTTTACGCGAGCCCGCCGCATCTGCACAGCAATCGCCAATTTTCAGTCGCCAGCGCAGTACCCGGCTCGCTTGGAGGCTTGCTGTCTCCTCCCGAATCACGTAGGACATCTAGCGATGAGAAGAAATCGCAGCGACCAACGGCCCGGCAGTCGCTGCCGTCAATACATGATGCGCTAGGCTCGGAGCAGCCGCTGACATTCCCAGCTACGGTGCCTCCGCCCTCATCTATATGGTCAGCTCCTCAGCATTATCTCTCTTCATCCGCTGCTACTTTACTGACCGAACAACGGGCACGGTACTATCCATCCGATCTTCAACATACCAGTCAAGGATCTTCCAATCCTTTATTACACCCACAAAGTTCAATCCTCAGCGCGCCAGCATCGAAAGCAAGCCCACCGTCACCACATCCTCCGACCCAAGCGGATTCTTTGCCTCATCCACCCTTCTCGGAACCACAGCCGCCGTATTCGACCCCTCAACACAGCCCGAAGCTACCAGCCCTTCATCCACTCAAGACTACGCGATCCCCGTCAATGAGCGCCGCTCGCACTAATATCCCCTACCCTTCATATCCGCCACCATCAACCACGTACGAGAGCTCTGCTGCTCAGTCAGCGGGACCCATGAACCAGCGTTATCCTTATTCGCAGTATCCTCCCAGCTGTGCTTTGTTAGCCCCTTCGGCGAGTGTTTCCAGCTTGGCATATCCTCCAATAACCTCGACTTGCGCTGCCCCGCCTTGGTATCCTCCGCAATCATGGCAGGATAACTCGGAGATGGCTCGTTTGGAAGAGAAGAAGATTGGTCGCTCGAGCCTATTACCCTATGGCGAGTCGGTCAAGCGACATCTGGAAAGCTTTGATCTGGAGGCTTCACTTAACGAGATGGCTGACGGATCTGGACGGATTGCTGAGTTTTCAAAGACATGTCGACAACAGGCGCGTGAGAATCAACACATGGGCATGGACTGTGGGGATATACTAAGGTTAGAGGAGATCGTTGATATGCTAAAGCAAAGTGGGAGGATCTTGATGTCGCTTCAGCATATGCGAGATGTCGTCTTCAACCATCATCAAGTGAGCATCATGGAACCCCCACAAGATCCGCGTTATCGACCGAGAAACGGTTACGATGACAGTAGAAACAATTATGGTGACAACACCAAACGAATGGGCGGCTTCGCTGGTGGCGACAACAAGACTAAGAAGCGAGGCGTAGGTGTTTCTCATCCTATTGATCGCGTATCGACACTGACTTCAAACACAGCGAGCTGCACCGCCAGGACGTTGTCATAGTTGCAACAGAGCCGAGACCCCGGAGTGGCGGAGAGGGCCAGATGGCCCCAGAACCTTGTGCAATGCTTGTGGTTTGCGTAAGTACGCAAAGATGATATAGCTTTACCCAGTCGACTAATACCGCGTTTAGACCATGCCAAGTTGGCTCGCAAAATGGGTGGCAAACAAGCTACGACCAGCTCAAATCTTCGACCCAAGTCTATTGATCATGGTTCATCAACGAGATGATTACTCTTTGACGTTCACATCGAAACCTAGTCCAATCGCCGGCTCGTTCTGAGCGTATGGCTCCGGCTGTAACCCCACTCACCAGTAGACTCCGCAACAATCAATCTAATCAATCTTGGAGTCGTTGATTGACTTGGTTGTTAGCGGCGTCGCCGATGATTGATTGTGGATTGATTGTTGGTGTTTTCGGGCAGATTGATTGCAAATTGATTGGTAGATTGATCGGATTGGACGCTAAGAGATCGAAGTTGTATACAATTACAGCAGCTAGGTGATCCACTCTTGTATATTGTAGTCGCAAACAAGGTCCTTATCTGATAGATCGTCCCACGCTCTCACTAACTGAAGAGCAGCAAGTAGCTCACTACCAATAGCGCGTCGTTTGGGCTCAAGTAGGTCACCGAGCTCACTGAAGAGCCGCTCACAATCGCAACTCGATGCTGGAATAGTTAGTATAGCAATTGCAAACTGGCTCAAATATGGGTATTTTGAGCGCATTTGTATCCAATACACTACTGGGTGGCCATCGCCTAGGTACTGCTCCCTACTCCACTCAGGTTCTTGAGCCTTCCAGCGCTCGTACTCGTCCTCATCTGCCTCCTCGTTGTTGTTCCGACCAGTGTGCGCCATGGAGGGAGAGAGCTCCACTCCGCCAAGATCCATGAACTCCCCGGCGCTCCAGGAGTTGAAGGAGGAGGATACATTAGTCCTATATAGGTAGTATCTAGACTTATTAGCGTTAGGTGGTAATGTTTTGTGAGCCAAACTTGAGACAAACGTGAAACAGGACGCTAGCAATATCAACGATCGCACCTCATCCCTTCTTTTGCAATGTGCAACGTTAAATTTTGGTAACAATTACTTCACCCTAACAAAATATACCTAACGTGAGCCACAAGCGAGCTGATCACTTTGCCAAGACAACACCACCTCCTGCTATCCATCACAATGCCACAACTACCTGATCTTGAATCACTTTCCCGCGCAGATAGGCTAATCCTTGCCATCCAAGCTATGAAATCTGATACATCGCTAAGCCAGCGACGCACTGCTGCTATCTACAACGTTCCTCAAAGCACGCTCAGTACCCGACGTGCCAAAACACCTGCCCGACGCGATATCCATCCCAATTCATCAAAGCTAGTAAAGCACGAGGAAGAGACGATAGTCCAGTATATAAGGAAGCTTGACGCGCGAGGTTTTGCTCCCACGCTTAGCTACGTACGAGAAATGGCTGATCAGCTACTTGCTGCACGTGGTGGTACCCAGGTTGGCCAGAACTGGGCTACCAACTTCATACGCCGCAAGCCTGGTATCAAATCTTAAGTAACTAGGCAGCGTGATCTCCAGAGAGTTCTATGCAGCGATCCAGCTATTATCAGCCCCTGGTTTGATCTTGTACGTAGCGTCAAAGCTACGTACGGTATCTTGGACGAAGATACCTATAACTTTGACGAGACTGGCTTCCAGATGGGTGTTGGAGGATCAGTAAAGGTGGTCACAGCGTCTGAAAGGCGCCTCAAGCCATTGGGAGTTCAGCCTGGCGATCGTAAGTGGGTAACGTTGATTGCCGCGATCAGCGCTGGAGGCTGGGTTGCTCCACCCTTTCTGATCTTCAAAGCAAAGCACCACGACCAAGCCTGGTACCATAACCCTAAGGATTGGAGAATAGGTGTTAGTAATAACGGTTGGACGACAAATGAGCTTGGTATCGCCTGGCTACAGCACTTCATCCGGCATACAGAGGCTCGAACAGTGGGTAGTCACCGGCTGCTTATTCTTGATGGCCATGAGAGCCATAAGTCACTTACCTTCCAAGATCTATGCGAGGAGAACAAGATTATTACCCTCTGTATGCCTCCGCACGCTTCCCATATCCTACAGCCCCTTGATGTGGGGTGTTTTGTTCCCTTGAAGCGGGCGTACAAGAAGGAGATCAATGTCTTGGCAAATAACCACATCAACCACATCGATAAGAAAGCCTTCTTAACCACCTTTACTCAGGTATTTGGTAGCGCGTTCTCAAAGGAGAATATTATATCTAGCTTTTAAGCAACTAGCTTAGTACTATATAACCTAGGGGCGGTGTTATCAAAGCTTGAAGTCAAGCCTCGTACGCCATCACCACCGCTACCAGGGCTTACCACCTGGCAGCCTAAAACACCAAGCAACGCCATTGAAATAGAGGCTCAATCAGCGCTTATATTTGACCGGATTCAGAGGCACCATAGCTCATCACCAGCATCAATTATCGAGATGATGAGGCAGTTTAAAAAAGGGGCGGATATTATGGTACACTCTCAGGTGCTTTTAGCAGCTAGGGTAGCTGACCTTGAGGCAGCAAATAGAGCTGCTTCTGAGCGTAGGAAGCGTAAAAAGAAGCGAATTCAGAAAGGAGGGACCCTATCGCAGGTAGAGGCTGAGGCAATGGTTGAGCAAAGGGACGTTGATGGTCAATTCGAGAAGGAGGCGCGTGATGGGAGGCTGCGCGCAGGTGGTAGTAGAGGTGGTATCCGACGCTGTAAGACATGCGGTGAAACTGGGCATAACAAGCGCACATGCCAAAAAGATACAGTAGAAGTAGACGATTAATTCAAGCTACTGTACGTTGTAACAGCTTATCGTGGTGTTAAGTTGTTCGCGTGTGAACGTAGGGTGCCGCATTTAGTGATCAGCTCGCTTGTGTGATCAGCTCGCTTGTGGCTCACGTTAGAACATATTTTAAAAGAAGATCGTGCGCACCACTGCAGTGTGCAGTAGAGGTAGATTGAGTATATTTCTAGAGGTATCATGAGTGAGGCATGAGGCATAAGACATGAAGCAGGAGTGATGGAAGTCAGATCATTAGTTTGGCCAATAGAGTTGCCCGGTTATCTGTCCGCCGCACTTTAGGTTTCACGTTTAGTGGCTGACAAGGTTATACCATGAAATTTTCAAATCAAATCAAGTTATTCAATTCAAAGCAAGTTATTCAAATTTATCTCAAATCAAAAACAAATCAAGCTATTCAAATCAAATCAATCAAGCTTTGATTTGATTTTGATCCGTTGCGAGCCCTGTTCACAGCGGTGCCTGCGCGTCAACGTTGAGCGAACAATACCATGTTTATCAGCTATTCTCTGCCACGGGATCTTGTCGCCAGAGGGTATAGAATCACACTCTGCAAGCGCTTCTTCGACACCTGTCATTGTCGTTGTGTTGTGGTGTTGAGAAAAAGTGGCGCATATCAGGTTTCCGCGCATTTGGTGATGGCGCGCATTTGGTGCACGGACACGGTACCTGTTTGGCATCCACAACAGCGTCACAGTATGCTGCAACGCTGGGTAAATTTTAGAAAGATAAATCGAAGTAGGGACTTTATGCAAAGTGTAATAGAAAAGAAATCGGAACACCTGAGATTCGGGTTCGATGATTCGTGCCCCGGATTTTTCCGTTTCGGTAGTAGAACTGTGAGGAGTATTTGGGCAGGCACTGAGATATTGGTATAGGCTTGTATTGAGACGAATCCTTGAGGAGCTATCAAGACTCCTAGAGGGATGATATATACCTACGTCACGTGATCGTGGCTGGTGAGGGCCGACGGTGGCCCGAAGGGTCCCCGGTGGCTTGCCTGCCTGTAGCTGGAACCTGTGGTATTGGAACATCGTGACAATAGCCCCTCCCTTTCTTGAGAGTCGTCCCGACTCTCGCAGCGGGTTTATGATGCCAATACAATCGCTGCGCGCTTAGTGTTCGAGCTGCGCTTCACATGTTACTTCGTTCGCGTTGCTAGCCCGATCACATCCCGTAGTCATCCCGTAACCTAAACGCTGGGGGGCATGTGAAAAACCTCTGTGAGGAAAAAAATCTTGTTATGCTCCGCGCACTTTAGGTCGCCATGGCCGCAGCCATACTACCTAGCCATCTCCCCGATCCACCGCAGTGAATGATAGGGCGTTTGGCCCGTTTGCACTGTGACTGCTCAACTCGTGGCTCAGTGTTTGCGCGGTGTTGTCGCTCGTGTTGAGCACATTTTCTGTGTTCGCAACAC